GTCTTTGGCACAGAAATGAACTGTTGGATCCTCCTTACATTTCAAGTTAAATTAAAACCAAACTGTACCATGCACAAGAGAAGTAATGCCTTATCTTTGTTCTTCACAACAATAAAAATGTCCACTTTCAACTTGAAGAAACAATAAAATAAATATGGCCAGTAACATTCACAATTTTTACTTACCCATTCTTCACTGGAATGCTTACATCTACTGATGCTGCAGTCTGCTGAGGCGGACAAATAGGAAACATCTATTGTTCCAAGGGACAAAGCAGTTTCATCCATGACACAGGAGTGGAACTGAAGATCAGAAACTGCAAAATAATAACACACATATGTGTGTATATATATATGTATATAAACCTATACAGAAGCGCACACAGAATTTCAGTGATGGGCATCTAGCAATAAATTAGCAAATTGGTATTCTTTCACCTTTCGATAAAAGTTCAGTTCTAAAGATGTTTTGTTTCATTGCAGCTAAAAATCAGCAAGATTTTAATATACTAAGAAAACCAGCACATTCAAGTTCCACAGCACACCAATCAGCTTCCAGCATGCTTCTCTCTCTCTGCTCTTCTTCCCCTTACAGGTCACTATGCTCCCTTGATAATTTTCCACTGTTCTTCACTGCATGGCTTAAACCATGCAGCCACAAGGATACACATTTCAGCCACTTTCCAAGGCTTACTATTCTCTTGCACTCCATAACTTCATTCTTTTATTATTTGCTTCTCGAGGGCACCTATGATCTACAAAAAATGTCATTAATGTTCTCTCCCAATCCTATCTCACAGTATATTTTATGTCTGGTCCAGCTGCAGTCAAACCAGTTTGCAAACTCCTCAGAAGGAGTGCTCTATAAAAAAGCACACCCCTAAATCTGAACATGCTGCTGACATAAGTGACATTACAGGCTTATCGGATTAAAAAGCAGTAAAGAAGTCTAAACTTGCATTATTATTTTGAAATGGAAGTTTTATAGTTTATATAATAAGCATAGCAAATAATTCTCCCTTCGCCAAAGGAAAAAGAAAGGGCAAACATATTAAAACAGCATAGTGATGTAAAATATACGTGCAAAACACTACAAATTAAACTGCTCTGTTATGGAGAGATACTGAATTAGGAATTCCAGCATTTTCACCTAGAGAAACTGTAAAGTGGCAATACCTTCCTCTTCTGTCACTGCAAAGAAACTTCAGTCATGGTCAAGCTACGAGCCATAAGGAATAAGACTGTTCCCATGTTGTACGTTCTATGCTAAGATCTGCAACAGCAAGGCCTAAAACTTTAATCCAACGTTTTTGCCTTTCTTAGTGCCCCCTCCAAGCTGCCACAAAGCCCATCTGGTGATACCCAAGCACAGAGTTCTCAATACAAACTGGAGTTCGAACCAATATAACCATGCAGTCATCCTTCTGTCTCTGCTAGCTCTTACATTCAATTTGCCTTTTTTTGTAATCAGCGCTCAGGCAATTTAGTATATCAACCGCACAATAAACACCAAAAAACCCCCAGTAAACCTCTGAACAGTGGAAGCGAAACGCGTCCTTCTCATGCTCAAGGTGACCTTGGCTGCGCCGGCACACATAAAACATGAACTTCAAAAAATAATACGGAATTAAAAGCTCGTGTGAGCAGCAGCAGCAGCAGCCCCCGTACACATACCTGTGAGACACCCGCAACCCGAGCTCCCGCTCTCGCTCCCTCTCCGCCGCTGCCGCTGTTCACCTGCCAGCCACCGCCATCCCGCGGGATCCACAGCGCTCCGGGATAGCAGGGATCGGCAGGGCTCACTGGGAAGCAATAGGGCTCCAAGAGGGCTCCGGGCTCAGTAGGATTCAGGAGGTCTGCAGCAGGGCTCCGGGTTCAGCAGGGCTCCACAGCTCTCCAGCCCTGCTATAAATAAAACCGGGGCGCTGAGCGCGGTGCGGGTGGGCAGCGCTCCGGACACGGCGGCTGCCAAGGGGCCGCCCCGCGCCTCCCCGGTCGCCGCGAGGGGCGGGCGCCGACCGCGGGCACAGGGCCGGGGAAGGTACCCCGGGGCTCCCCGCGCCCTCCCGCCCTGCCCGCGCTGCCCCCCGGCGGCCCCACGCCCCCCGCACCCTGCGCTGCCGCCGCTCCGCCGCTCGGCCCCGCGCCTGCCGGGGCCGCACCGCCCCTCTCGCCACGCGGCAGCCACTGCGCTGCCCCGCCCCGCCGCCGGGGGCAGCACAGCCGGGGGCAGCACCGCCCCGCTCCGCCCGCCCCGCCCCGCCCCCGCCCCCGCCCCCGCCCCCGCCCCCGCCCCCGGCCCCGGCCCCGGCCCCGGCCCGCGCCCGGCCGCACCGCGGGCTCCGCCGCTGCCCCCCGCCCGCCCCCGCGCCCCGCGGCGGCGCCGCGCCTGACGCGACTTCCTGAGCGCCCGTGCCGAGCCCCGCCGGCCGCAGGGCCCTGCCGCTGCCCGCCCGCTCCGCCGCGGCACCTTTACACCTTTGCATCCCCGCACAGCCGCTGCGGTGCCCGTGCCCCGCCTGCCCGCTGCGGCCCCGGCCCTGGGGCAGCCGCCGCATCGTCCGACAGCCGCTGCCACCGCCCCCGCGCCCGGCGAGAGCAGCGACTCGCGGCTGCTTTGCCCTCAAATCTGAGCTGCTAAAACAGGAAAACGCTGGAAAAGCGGTGTGAAATGATGTTTAATAGTGTTTAAATGGGTTTACGGCAACCCAAGAGTAGCCGTTGAGAACAACTGCAGAAATTTCGGGACAGGTATCGATCTGCCCCCCCCGGCCTTGCGGCAGTGCCAGTTTGCCTTTTACTGAGCGCAAAAGTAAATGTTGATTGAGATTGCTACACATAGGCGAGAGTATCCTTTGGCTTTGGCGTTCTTGGGCTATTTAAAGACAGGTTCTTTGTGGCTTGAGTTACAGACCAACCAGTGCCTACATTTTTTCTTTGAATATCTGTTTGCAGTGCAACACAGGAATAAAGTGGCAAGATACAAGACATCGCTTTATGCTAACGCAAATACTCTAATTAGAAATCTAAGTAACCCAAGGAGGTGTTCTCCTAAGGGTCTTCCTTCTAGATGTCATTTGAGTGTATCACAAATAGGAATTGTTAAGTAAGAATTACAAATTACTTTCACACATTAGAGAAGATCCATAAGAAGCGATAGACAAAAAAACAACTGCTACATGCACACGTGAGTTGCCCTACTCCCCACAACTTGAGTGCCTTCAGGAAGTACTACTGGAGTATTACAGCAGATAGTTTACAGAGCATTCTGCATTTTATGGCTCAGAAGGGATTTTGAGTCTGAATTTTCCCCCTTTAGCAAGAAATGATACTCTTCACAAAGTGGACTTGCAAAGACACCTACTTTTCAAATAAAAAATACGATAAGATGTGAGATAGTGAAACGTGCAACTCACATAAAGTTTGTATTTCTGTGTAATAAGCAGTGCAGCGTTTGTGTATTGCAAAGCACTGTTTTCTAGGGCATCACATTTTGTATAAAGAAAGGACAATCTCTAATGGTACTTCTTAGAGCACATTCACATACTAAAGTTTTCATCCAGTTTTCTCATAATCTGGGCCAGGAATTTCAGATTTGAAATTCTTGAGAAGGTGAAGGAGAGGTGGTGAAATTGTATCAAGCACCCACTTAAAACTTTTGGTCATGAGAAGGAACGTAGCTAGAATCTCTGGCCACTTTGAAATACAAGCCCATAACTGTCCAGCTTTATAACAAAGCTTTTGACTTGATATCAACTTTTTCTTGAAGTGATTTGTTGAAGATCAACCAGGACAGAGGGGGCAGATTTTGCTTTCAGCTGGGTCTGCTTCAGCTAAGAGAATTTGTAGCTGCTTCACTAATCAGAGGCAAGCCAGGAGTCTGCCTGTATGAAAAAGAAATAATAAATAAGGGTTTCACTGACAGAGTCACAGTGCTACTGTCAGTGATGTGATCTCAGTTATTACATCCTCATCTCAGCTTTGCTTGCACAACGACCATCTCATTGCCCTGGTGGAGGCCAGAGAAGGAAACGCCTGTCTCCGATTCTGTGACCCAGAGCAGGGCCACATCCCACACTCAGGATTGCATGGTGTTTGACCTAGGTGTCAAGCCTCATGGAAGCATCAGAAGGGGAAGCTCTGAACTCCTCTCTGAAAAGTGAGATCAAGTGTTACATCACATATTCCTGTAAGTCTCTTGGCATAAGGAGCAGATCACAGAAGTAGTCAAAGTCCCAGTATAACACTGCAGCCCACATCCTGATCATTGCTTCCAGCATGGGTCTGTCTGCGTGCAATAGGGGAAGTCAGAGCCTGAATCATGTCAGAAATCACATTGGAGGGTATGATTCAACAGCTGGATTACATGAAAACTGATTATAACAGATGGTAATGAACAGTTATATCGAGTCTAAGCAAACGCAGGAAACATAAGGCAGTTAAAATTCTTATTAATGTTGTCTAATAATTTAATTGTTCCACTGATTTTGTATTGTCATTTGGGAACTTCTTAGTAGATACTTTTTATAAAAACCCTCAAGACTGTTTACACACAACCTTCTCTAGGTATGGAATCATTTTGATTTTTTTTCCCCTTCCACACATAAAAATAGGCTATCAATGAGTGTACTAGGTTTCAGTCTGCTATAATGTAACTCACAGCAAATTCTCATTCACTGAGTGTAAACCAAGCTTGTCTGCTTTGTTTCCCTCTATAAAAATTAGTATAGCACATTCAGAATCTAATATGGAGCTTTTAGCATGTCTTTTCCTTGCACACTTTTACACTGGTATATTTCTTCTGGTTGCAAACCAGTTATTTCTGTGACATAAGCAATACAACAATCAGAAGAAAAGCCTCAATGGCTTTATCATAATTTTATGCAGCCTCTAGAGTTTGATTTTGGTATAATTTATGAGAAAACTGCTTAGGCTATTCTCTAGACTGTTTTGAACAGAACAATAAATAGTGTTTTACTCATAATGATTCTATGTAATAATAATAAAAAAAGGTTTCCATTATGATTGTAAAGCAGTTTTCTTGTTTTTCTAACCTTAGAAAATTCTTGTCGTATTGTAAAATAAATCCAGAGATAATTTTGCCACTTATTTGAAAAGGATCCTGAATTAGTCTAATGGAAATTGCAGCTTAGCAAGATCTTTTTACACTTGTATAAATCCTCAGGCTTAGTAGTAAAATCTCATTTCAGTACTGAAAGCTTGGTGGTGATGTTGTGTTGCCATGGAATCAAGCAAATGGGAAAAATTTTGGAGTGCCTCAAAGGAACAGACTTTCAGAGCTGCATGTGCTCCAAAAAGCTCAAATACCGCTGGGTTTCGCTTCCAGAAAATGGAGACTCTATCCTGCTTCCATTGAAGTCAATGGGAGGCTTGCCACTGATCTCAGTAGGAGTGGGAGCATGCCTGAGTTTTGCAATCCATCTTTTTAAACTTCTTAAACCGAAGTGTTAACCGTGCCAGTGAGTCCAGGGAGGTAATTTGCATATGATGGCAAATGAGCAGAACCCTGGCTTTGTGTGAATAAGCTTCTGACCACATTTGTGCATAGCAGCCTGCAGATGAGAAAGAGCTGGCAGGACCCTTTTTTTCTTAGTCCTTCCTATTTTTAAATTCCTCATGAAGCTTCCAACAGAGTTCAACAAAGTACCTGTTTGCTAGACAGTGCTATGGGGAGGAGGGGGGAGAAGGGACAAGGGGACTTCTTTTTGCGTTGCCTCAGCTCTGGCTCTGTTCCCCAAGCTCATGTCCAGCGATTCCCATGATGTCACTTTTAGTAATGGAGACATGTTTACAAAAGAGTACACAGCATCCTCTTTAAAAAGAAACTTTCAGCCCAGAGAATGCTACAAAAGTTAGGAAACCAAAAACTGTGCAAGGAGGGAGTAAAGATCCAGACAAAGGTTCTTTGTGTGCAATGACCGAACTCGACCTCACATGACTATGAACAATAATGAATATGCAATTTGGCAGTGGCAGAATTCAATGTCAGCAGTACTGCCTTTGGTATACAATATATTAAGAGCATCTGAGAGTGTCAAGTGGCCACGAAATGGACTGATAAGATTGTGTGTAGAAATGGTTTATACTTTATATCGCATTTCAAGACAAATTATTTTTTTCTCTTCTATTTCATTCCCTTATCTTGAGAACAAATGCAAAATTCATTAAGAGTACAGTGACTCTCTGCTATGTAATACAGCATATCGTATCTCTATAATTTTGAAAAGAAAAGGGCATTTCAGCCCAAGCTGCTCCTGGCTTTTCCCTTGAACTTGTTACTCACATTAGTACAAAAAAAGCTTTTGTTCCAAGAGAAAGAACCAGTATAACTAACTGGGTTAAAACCAGTATAACTAACTTTTACCTTTTCACCATTTATCTATCAAGAAATTACACACATACTTGTATTTTGTACAAATCAGAAAATCCTAACTGTCGAAAGGAATTTGCCAGCATTTTTAATTTAGGAATACTGAATGACAGAATGTGGAACAAGATTCTCCCATACTCAGGCCTTGAGCAATTATCTGCCATAACAATGCAAGCTTCCCCGTGCCTGCTGTGAGCAGGGGGTACATGTTTTCAGGGTGGTTATTTCAGTTCTCTGCTTTTCTTTGTTGAGGGTATTTGCAAAGCTGACATTTTACCCAAGAGTTGATTTTATCTGAAAAACAACAGATGAAACAACTAATTTACTGTATAGGCTCTAAATACTATTGTATTAACAGTGGTATTACCCATTTATAAATCATTAAAAATCAGTATGTGTGGAGGACTCTGTTGTGTAAAGGATAAATCTACTTTTGCATTTACAGATATTTCAGGTTTCACTAATGACTTTATTTTATGTCAACCCAGTGAACTTCTACTTGTTGACAACTTTCCCACAGAAGACAAAGACTTTCTACTCTACCTCCCTCTCCAGGAATCCAGAACTGCTTTCTACCCCTCCAAACAAGAAACCACGGCATAGAAATAAAGAAATCTGAGAGCTAAGGGCATTATGGACCGTTTTGAAAAAATGGCATGCCATAGAAAAATCACAAAATCATGATCTTACCAAATTTGCTCTGACTCATCCTTCAGGGATTGCCAATTGTTCTAGAATAACACAACCCCTAATTAATATGAGGTGGTAGGCAAGTCTTTCATCAGTGTCTCAAAAGGAGGCAGTTTTTACTGCTCAGGTTTGCTTGATTGTGCAGCTGTTGGCTTTAGAAGGACTTGTCACATCTTGTAATTGAAAGCACCATAGATATTAGAAGTTGGGATCACAGATAGCTCTTTCAGCCAGTGCACAAGAATCTTTGCAACAGTTTATGTGACGCAGGTGTTGAATCACATGACATCCCACCCCTCCCGTCGTTTTCGGGTATTTGGGACTGTAATCAAGGCATTGCTGTGTGGGACATTGGAGGAGTCTTAATGCCTTTGACATGAAAGACACGAGACCTGCTAGTTGGGAAATTTTCTCAGAATTTTGGAGATGTCTTTTGTAAAAACCTTGGGAGAGTTAGGAAAGTGTCTGGGCATCTCTTCTGATCTGATGCAATGATCCTGACGCAGAGTGCCATGTATTCTAATGAAGGCTTTACACTCCCAGTATTTGCCAATCCCATATGTGATTATCTCTTCTGTAGATGAACAGAGAGACATCTCCAAAGGGCAACACTCCCTGCCCCCCAATTTACTCAAGCAAACCAAATGGATTTGCTGATTTGGGCTTTGCAAAAAGCACGCAGGAACTAAACCTCCCCATAGATGTCTAGATATATTTCCTTTTTGTAGGTTTTTCTCACTAAAAAATAAAAGTTCTCAAAACTTTAGCTTACCATACACATAGAAAATTAACTTTATGTAACTGAAATTTTATCTATAAACACAATCAACAAAAAGTAAACTATAAATTTTGTTTCAAATTAACTGAGAACCCTGACAAAAAGCAGTTTTTAGCTTTTGGCCTTCTCTTTCCACTAATCTGGCTGCACCACTTGTTACATTCCAATTCTGACATTCAAATCATCTTGAGCAACTTTCCCACAGTGTGTTTCCCAAACAACAGCATTTTTCCCACTCCCACTTATGTGTCTCTTGCATCTGGAACTGCAGAAAAATATCCTTGTTGGAGCCCTCAGACCCAGCCAATAATTGTAATGCAGTGCTAGATATCAAAAATTATGGGTGATCATTTGACCAAAACAATACCAAATGATCCAGCAAAAGCATACTTTTTCCATTACTAAATAACAGATATTCAACCCATAAAATGATAAAATCTTACATAGGGTTGCGGGTTTTTTCACTGCTTCAAAAACCTAATACTCTCCCAATCATCTTATACCTTCATGAGAGCACAAATCGTTTTATTTTTATACCCTAAACTATTAAATTGCTTAGTTATTCCAGGATATTCACTTGAAATGGCAGAGGCCATGAAAATGATATAATCTCTTTCTAAGAGCTGATGTTTTTGCAGCTCTCTCCTTTCCTCTTTATAAAATAACAGAGCATTTTACTAGCTTGGTGTTTCACACATGACCAGCCACTGCTTCAGAAAAATTACATGGTCATCAGAAAACATCTGTTTCCTTATATCTAGCCTAAATTTTCCCCTTTTTCAGTTTGTAAATAGTATTATTATATTATAATATTTATCATAATATAAATTATAAATATTATGTTTATATTATGAAACAAAAAAATAATGAGCAGGCCAGTGCACTTTGAATGTGCATTCAGAAATCTGCTTTGGTGGTCAGAATATACTGGGCATGCATCTGCCTCAGACTCTTCCTTGCAAAAAGTTTTCTTCTCATTTTCTATCTGTGCTACTGCAGTGTCTCTGAGATCAAACTGAGCTCCACCAATCAAGCTGAGTTGTGTTTCCCCATGAGATTTTTTCAGAAAAGAACTTTCTGTGCATTTTCACCTGTGACATTTTTCAGGTATGTTTTTGAGGACAGTTAGTATTTAGTATTCCTTACATAACACAAGTTTAGAGTGTGCTTATAAAGTTAATGAATAAAACACAGTTGGGAAGCACCGGCCAGGTTGGAAACTGGAGAAGACCCCTATGCACTTAAGAAGTAATTTCTGGAACAGTCTTCCAAGAGGATTATGGGGCAAATATCAGCCCCAAGTTTAACCCACAGCATGGCATCATCCTGACATTTTTGGCCATTCCTCATTCAGTTTCAGCTCCTCTGGTAGGTCATTAGCATGTATAAGCCAGGAGGTACCATCAATAATCCTACCTGGTATGATGAAACATGGAACAAAATTTCATAGCTTGTTTACACAAGCAATACTTGTTGCTAAAAATATCTTAGTTACTATATTTTAACTAAATTTCAAGCACTAGCACGCTATCTTATCTGCTTCTGATCAGTCCTCAAAGTGAGTGCCAATATATTTTTAAACATAATTTATTTTCTAATCTAGGCCTCGTTAAATCTCATAAAACCTGGGTCAGGCAGATCTGGAGCAAAAGTCAGCCGCATCTGTACTTAGAAAATTTAGAAGCAGAAAAATAGACAAGCAAAGAGTCCCTATGCCATTTTGCAACTTTGTGGTCAGTAGCACGATCCACTCTCTTTGCTTCTCTGCTTTTCCTGTTATTCTGGACAAGATGTTTCCTGACCACAGATGTGTGTGATATTCCTGTGGTTAATTGATATTCAGAATTTAAAGAGGCTCCATACAATGCAAAGTGTGCATTTTCAGAGGACTACACTAGAAAAAATGTATGCTGGTGAAAGCCTCCAGTGAAGAAATGCCTTAAATCTAACTTGTGGGATTTGCTATGGGAACTTGAATAATTTAGAAAGGCTTTTATTTAATGTCAGAGAAGGAAAAGAGGTAAGCGTTGTTATAGCTAACCACATTTCAAATAGCAACTGTGTCTATAATCCTTCCGATTCAGTTTTAAAGACTTGTTTCATTTTTGCTAAACTTAGATTTGTTTTCTCGTCTCCAATCTCTTCAATTTCTTCCTCTCTGGGCTAAACTCTTGTCCTGGGTTACCACCACAACTCTGTATTTGGTGCAATGTCCGTGAAATCTTTAGACTCTTTTTCCTCAGTATGGATCCTGACTTAGTCTAAATAAAATTAAATATAAGAAAAAGGGCTAAAACAGTAAATGTTGTACAAAATAAATAAAAAAACCCTCTTGTGAATGTTGATTATATCTTCTCTATCGACTTGTTATTTGTGGTTTAGCTTATATAGCCTGAGATCATTGGGGTAAAATCACAGCATGGCAAAAGCCAATGGCAAATCTTCCACCCTGACCAGGAAAGCTGCATCACACTGGTATATGGCATGAATATCACAAACTTATACACTGTATTACAGGACAACAACAGCTACCTACTTTCTGAACCCTATTTGAACTTGTACTGTACGCTTCTGTCTTAATCAAGCATTTGACTTATGCAGGGAGGATTTAATTAACGTAGAATTAATTCAACTGAGAGTAACCTTTGAAACCATGCTTACACTATCAGCTGTGATTTGTGCAGGATACCTCATGGAGCTGCAATCTATGCATCCTTACGTAACAGGCATTAAGAAGCAGTTACACAACAATGCAAACACCACCAGCAGATGAAAATCCATGGCACAGACAGGATCTTGAGTAATCATCAAAGCAGTGCCAGAAAGCAAATTCTACCTGCAGAAAACATTTTTTGTACTAAATCCATTTCAGTAGATGCTCTGTACTTCTATTGCTAGTAACCTTAATCCACAAAGTGGATTTTCATTGTAAACTTTTTATGCTTCAAAACCTGTTAGTACAAACTTTGACCAACACTGCCACAAAATGTGTGTGCAATTCAACTCATATCTTTACTGACTGCAATAATAAACTTTTGATCTAAAACAAACAGGTCATTAGCAAACAGATACTTTTGTGCACTGAGGTTACTTGGGCCTCTCTCTTCCTGTCATCCCGTTCTACATGCACTGTTCAGACACTTAGAGTTTGGTGTCTGAATATCTCTTTATGATGCCAGAGCACTTCAGGTTTCTCAAATTTAGCATGGGTGAACATACTCCATTTCTCAGTGTACAAAGTTTATTAGTGCCCTTTAATTAAAACTGTTAATTCAGGCAATACTTTCATCTCAGTGTATGTCTAAATTCAGGCAGTCGTGCCTATAGATACATCTATTCTAAATTCAAGAAATTATGTCCAATTATCTTTGTACTACCTTCAGAACATCATCTAAAGTTGATATAGTTTCTTGATAAATGAGTTTCATTCTTTATAAAAGGAGCATTCCAAGACCCCTTTTTACGTACTTCAACATTGCAGAAGTTTAAGTGCTGTATAAAGTACTATATGGGACAGATTCTGGTCCCTTTTGCATCGATAGAAATTGGGATTATTCCAAATTTCCACTGTCATAACGAAACAGAATTTTTTCCTCAGTTAAGATGCACATGGATAGCCAGATATAATTGTGTGGTCAGAAATACTTTTTAGAAGACACATAGTTTATCACAGTTTAACTTCATGTTTTCCAGTAGTAAAAAAAAGGAAAATAACTTAAATACTGATAACATACCTTTTCTCTCACTTAAATTCCCAGTTGAAAAAAATAATAATCCGGTTTGTTTGTATGGCGACAATTCAATTTACCAGAAAATATTTCCCTAATTAAAACTACATTGCATTTGCCAAAGCCCTTTAGACCACAGTAGTATCAATGGGATTAATCACCAAATCATTCTTTTCTTGAACCAGGTGCTTTCCTCAATGTTACGCTTTGCTACAAGTTACATCCAATTCAGCTATGCTTGAAAACACTATAATTGTGTTGGCCAGGAACATCATTCTTTCCTTAATGAAATAGGTTTCCAAAGTGGTTTCCACCACCTACAGTTTGGAAACAAGTATACTGTCATATAGGCTAGTTTCGCTCCTTGCCTGCTATTGGCAAACTGCCATTTTATCTCTATATGCGCAGTTAACACCTCTGCATACAAACTAAGGATCTATGAGTACAGAAAAATCTGGAAAATGTGATGAAGCATTTATTTACTATCTTCTGGCCTTCGTCTCTTAATTTTTTTAAATGCCTATGTACCGGTTATTCCAGAATTGTCTGCCATCTACAACATCCTAATTGTGTTGCTTTAACTAACAGGTACCTACAAAGCATCATTCCACAGACTTATTTTTAATCATAGATTTCTCATCCTCAATTAAAAAATAACAATAAAAGAACACATTAAAAGATAACTGTAAAACAGGCAGCAGTTCTGAAAGAATTCAAGCTGCTCTGCTCCTCATATTGCTCCCTTCTAAGGCACCTGGGAACCATTTATTTCCCCGCCTGCAAGTATCCTGGGCACTGTACAGACACCTCTATTTTCATTTTCTTTTATGCAAAAAATATGACTAAATATGCAGTGTCTTCCCAGGGCCAGGCAATCCTAACATATATGTGGTCATGAATAAGGACATAAATAAAATCTGCCTGTATGAGGCATGATTCATATGTAGAGGGGAGATACCCAGGAGAGGTGCCAGAGGTGATCTCTGTCCTCTGCTATTTTATCTGTCCTGCTGAGGCATTTACATGGCTCCCATTACTATGATGCCAGAATATATAAGGACATACAGCTGTTCTTACAACACTCAAATAAGGTAGACAGATTACATGGGTTACCCCAGGTCAGAAATTTGAAGCAGAAAAGATCATTGCACAAGTTTCACATGCTCTCAATGGGTAGAAGGTGTTTATCAACCATTTCTATATAAATCAACACCTAACCCCATTCCCAAAGTATCCAAGTGTTTCTCAAGCATTTATGCTAAAATATTCAAGAAGCTCTATCTTGGATGTTTTACTGCCACGAACCAATGGCTGAAATCACTTGTAGCAGCTTCTTTCAGTGAAGTTTAAATGGTCTTTAACTATGGTTGCCAAGATAAATATATTTCATAACAAGGCTTCTAAATGTCTATATCAGTCAATCATTTTAATCACAGAGTGCTGAGTAAGACTATATTTTCCCCGTTGTCCATGTGGTCATAAAATTAAATTAATTTCTATTAAATGAAGATGTTGTTAACCTACTCATGCCTTCAAGTTTTTAAAGTTCAACTATCAGAATATGCTCTAAGGCAGTGTTATAGCTGAAACTGCTTTGGAAGCAAAACATTCCTGTTTACAAGCATGAAGACGTTATGCCCAAAATATAAATATATGAATATGATCTTGTTAATTTACTGAAGTCAGCAGTGAGATTTCTGCATGGGACACAGGCATGTTAACATCTACTATGAGTGATATAAGTTGAGACTGATGGCTTGATGGCATCTGGTAGCTTCTTCTGTAGGTACCCATTGCTGGCTGCTGGAGTAACACATTGTATGCCCCTTAGGGTGCTTTGCAACAAGTGGAGGAATAATGCTCTTTATGCAATCCTTTATGATTCCCGTATGATACCATATGGTCAGAAATTATTAATATTTTTATAATTATCTTTATCTGTAAAATGGTAAAATACTTACCAACCTGGTAGGATGTTGAGAAGGATAATTAATTGTGATTTGGAGATGCTCTTAAGACTGAAGAATGCTAGGTCCTGCAAGAGAGAAATATATGATCCACTGACACTTAAGTTAACACACATCCTTGTCATCACCTCTGCAGCCTTTACAGCAACAAGCAAGGCTGGATTGCTCAAAATTAATAATGGGTTTGGACAACACCTAGCAATGAGAAGTAATGTGTTCCATATGTTGACATCTTCTCTATTAAAACATGTAGTGTTACGGTTTCATCTAAATCTTTTTCATCCAGTAGTATCTTTCTAACACAATGGATTGCTGTATCTCTCATCATTTGGGAACTAGACTAGATGACCTTTAAAAGTCCCTTCCAACCCAAACTGTTCTATGATTCAAGGATTTTACTGATGCCAATACATGTTCATGCTCAATCAGCTTAGGCACCGGTTATTTGCTGCACATTTCATGATAATTTTTTTAAAATAATTTTATTTTCTAAGTCAATTTCTATTTTCTATTCTTGATTTTAAAATTACAAGGATATGTTGCAGCTACCTAGACAAAATCCTCATGACAGAAAACCTGCAACCAATAAAGGCACCAAGGGAAAAGCATACAAGAAAAAGTGTCATGAAGTTCCAGGTGCCAAAGGCACTTCCTGCAGCAGCACCATTGCAGCAACGTAATGAAGGATATTTTCAGCAACTAGTTAAGAAATTCTTTTACTGGTGACAATTTGAGGTTAGTTGGACTGGAATTGATGGCAATAATGCTAGTTTCACACAATGCACCCATTCAGATGACTTTGGAAAGCTACGTGCTCCACCTTTCATATCGTCATGCTGGAATATCTTGGCTATTTCAGCTGTGACCAATGTAAGCTTCAGGACTAATTTAATATATTAACCTTAATATAGTGCAGTGAGATGTAAGATCCAACCAAATCTAAAATGTTCTTAACATTACAGATGTTCAGAGATCTTAATAACATCTTGCGCTGGAGCTGGTAGGATATTTTTTAATGAAAGAATGGATGACAAGTATAATATAAAATTAGTCTTTATAGGAACTTTTTTGTTGTTCATCTCATATTTCATCTACAAATATGGTTGTCCCAATCACTTGCTGAAAAATGAAGATGTTAGGTCAGAAATGCTGTAACACTGCCTTATGGAGAGAGAGGATGAGCTCACAGTTCAATAGGAATAATTTAAAATCAACAATGTCACTGTGTTTCAGGAGAGATGTAGTTTGAATGCTTCCTGCCTTCATTCACCTCTCCATACCAGGATTCTTGGCAAGGTTATATGTTCTGCAACATCTGCCATGGTATAATGCATCTTGAGAGATTTTGCCTGAGATAGAAGTTCATGCACCAAAATGCATCTCCCCAGGTCTCTGCAGTGATATTTCTGAACGGAAAAGCATTTCAGTTTTCCCTCTTTCAAATCTATGGACAAATCTGTGAACACAGGCTAACTTTTCTCCATTCTCTTTACATAGACAGCATTCCACATACACATGACAGTATTTCCAATAAGTTCAGACATGTAGGGCAGTTTGAGGCAGAAAAGCACTAACAGACAATATAGATATAAATCTAAGTCCTGACTCTCAAACACGTGTTGAGCTGAACAGTTCCCTCTCAGGAGTGGAACCTCAGTGGTGCTGAAGAGGCCTGTGACACATGTATTACTCACAGGAGCCAAGTGCAAGACTGGAAATTCACTTCCAACTCATTATGCATGTATGGTTTCAGTTGTCTTAATGGCAGGCTTACACAGATACATGCAATTTAAGTATACAGCAGTGGGAGTAACAAAAACCTACAGGCATTCAGTGTAACAGCAATACACTCCAGCAGACACCTCTCCACAGCAACTGGGATGAGCTGAGAGCTGCTGCTGTGCCTTACTTCAAACCAGCACTTTTCATGGAGACCAAACAGAGCAGAAGGAAGGCTATGAGGAGTTCTCACATTTTTACATCAGCATGTCCAAGTGTACACAATACGCCTTCAAAATTTCCATTTCAACCCCCGGATATTCATTTTGGAAAGAGTAAGATTCAAGATGTAATGACCATAAAAGACAATAAGAAAGAAATCCGTGCATGAACAAGAGGAAGGAAAAAGTAGGTTCACTGTTTTTGTGGAGATGGAAATCTAATGATGAATGATGCTGAGAATGATGTTGTGTCTTTTCATTTTCCGCAACATTTGCCACAGATAAGTAACAACTCAGTGACTGCTTTTGCTAATTCCTTAAATACCCTAGAGCAGTTTTTACATATTCTGGTAATTTCTATATCATAGAATCATAAAACATTCTGGGTTGGGAAGGACCTTAAAGATCATTTAGTTTCAACCCCTGTGATATGGGGAGGGACACCTTTCACTAGACCGGGTTGCTCAGAGCTACATCCCACCTTTAAAATATTCTTTAATCTGTTCTTTGTGTTTTCTTACTTAAGGTCCTACCACACAGATAGGATTAATTTTGCTAAACTTCTAGACACAGCAAACTTTCAGAGTGAAAGACCTGAATAATTTCGCTTTCTTACCATCTGCTATTTGATTTCATTCCATGTTAAGTAGTAAACTTCTAACTGGAATTTGTCTTCCCTTCACAATATGGAATATTTTCGTTTTGATTTTTTTATACTCTTCCAAATATGTATCTGTTTAGCCTTCTTGATTTATTTCCTATATTCTTGGCCTTTATTTTCTTCCTCAGATATGTCTCCTTGCTTCTATTTCTTACACACATTTCTTTTTGATTTTCAAGTAATAAAAGTGATCCTGATGCAGTTTCGTCATTTGGGGAGTGGGGAGGGTGTGTGGAGGCATAGGCACAGCTCTCTCCAAATCATAAGGTTCAGTTTTTAATCTTCTTAAATATATCTCTATAAGAATAGGATTATTATATGCTAATACCTGGGAAAATCCAGTTGCTGATATATCTAGTAGATATTCTGATGAGTGAAAACAGATTTGGTGCTAATCAGGTGGGAAAGTCTGAAATAGTAACACAGAAAACCATTGTGGGTTCTTAATCTAGAGGTGTTAACCATCTGGGATAACATTACATATATTGTGACCACAATAATGTAACCCCAGGTCTAGCCCAAGAGGAGCTGTGATTCTGTCTCCCTAGGCATCTGCGAGATCTACAAGGTCTACAAGGTAGCAAGTTGTGCTCTAGTACAGTCAAAAGGGATGATAATTTGGAGGTTTTTTGAAAAAAAGCATTAATAACACAAAACTGGAGTGGACTTACAGGTCCAAACAAGTTATATAAATGATTTGCCACACTTGATGTTTTGTCTGCTTTCTCTGTGCCTCCTTACAACCTAGAAAAATTGTCCTAAATCCTGCCAAGTCCTGAGAGATTACTGAGAGACTAAGGAAAAGATGAACTAGACTGAAGGGCCAACACACTGGGTGAGCTCCATTCAGCTAAGCTTAGATATATATATTTGTGTCTCTCTCTCTGGAAAGAAACATTAATTTCTAGGGCACAGTCCTTCTGATCCCAAAGTAGATGCCTCAAGCATCCAGATGCATGGCTCATAACAGGCTCTGAAGGACTCTGTTTCTCAGCACTGAATATAAAATTTGTTTAAGGTGACTAGTTCAAATATAGATAAACCACTGTCTTCTAGTAATAGCAAACCCCATCCCAGATGACAAGCCTTGACAGTCCAGTATGAAAGCAAATAAATTAAGAGTTTATCTAGATGCACAGGACTGATATGAACCCCTGAGATATTTGTATTTACCCAGTGTTACAGCTCAAGGAAGCCAAAGCCTGGACTTTGAAATATGAAACTATAAATAACTCCAGATTGATCATCAAAGGCTTTAACCAGCTCAAGTCTACTCGAGCAGAACTTTGCAGCTGGGCTCCCATCTTCCCTGCAGGGTTGCCTCTGTCCTTAGAGTAGACGTTATCCTCCTACTGAGGATCTCCAGGGATCTCGCTGTGATGGAGCTAATTATAGGTAATCTGTGATTAAATATGTTCACCAGCACAATTTGTGGGTTGCAGGGTATGCTCTGCTATGCCAAGCAAAAGGATCTGACATGGGACAGGAATAAATATCAGCTTGGACTGCAGATTAGTGATCTGAAGCACCTGTTGTGTGACAAAGGCATCCAAGCTCAGATGCCAGTTCAAACATATTCCCTTAAACAAAGAAGCTGTGTCATGTAATGTTAGGAAATACAACTCTTCCTTAATTAAAACCAAGGAATCACTTTTGAATATTTACTTTTTACTGGAGACCAGAGGAGGGGTGAGCAGAATGGCTAATCCATCGACTGTGCTACAAATATTGTAAGAAGAGACAATTCTCCCTGTAAGGAGACTGGAAGCTAAAAATACAAGGCAGAAGCTGAAGGCAGGCCTAAGGCACAGGGTGATATTCCAGGTCTCTGATCACACAGCAGGCCTGTGCCCAAGGGCTGTTCTCTGTCCCCACAGCACTGCTTAAATACAGAGAGTGACGGTGAAAATGAGAAAAGCCTCTAGAGATTGTAGAAAAAGTTGCATGGAATGATGTCTTTCACTGTCCTTAAGTTAACATGAAGCCAAAGATCTCAATTGTTCCAAGACCACAGCTGGCAGAATCTGCTGCTAAATGATTGACCCTACCAGCACTGACTGAGGACTTATGAATCCAGTAGTGGGATTTGATCACAAGTAGTCTCAAATTGGATCAGAAAGCTGTTTTACAGAAACCATTGCACAAATAATGAGTGAGCCTTAGGAGAGATCCAAGCACTGCATCAGTCCTTACTGAATTGGACATACAGATCTGGGAAGGGGCTTTGTAAAACCCCAAAGTTCCCCAAGTGCTTCTGGTCTGAACACAAGGAGATGCAAGAAACGGGAATATGTTCTACATAATACCACAGAGTCATTCTGTCTTCTACACCTAACAAACTTAACCAATACAAAAAACAAACAAACATACCTTAGCTGCTGAATCCTGGTGGGAAAGTAAAGGGGAAATTACATCCTCCCAAAAGTTTATGGAATTGTCAGAGACACACGGAGCTCAAAAATACACA